ATTTTGTAGTTCAACTGCAACAGGTTCCTGATCAAAAAAGGATGTGGAGGGAAGAGGTAATTTTACAAGGTTAGATGTTGCTGTTGGATAGAACCCCTTGGCCACTGACTGGTTCTTTGACATGGACAGGTTATCTGTACCATAAAACCTCAGGTTCCTCATCTATAAAATGTGGCTGATGATAGCCTCATCTTGGCTCGTCATGAGAAGTGAAGGAGATTATATGTAAAATATATGTTCTTAGCACAGTGCTGGGACCAGAGGAATGTCCTGGCAAATATTAATAGTCATGTTACTGTTGCCAGGGCAGGCAGGTAACAATAGTATAGTACATTCTATACAAATACTGTTAATGGCAACTATATTGATGCTGTGTGTAATGTGAGTTAGCAGATTAATGTTAATGGTGATTTCGAAGACCTTTAATAGATGATAATGTATGCTTTTGCTGTGACTAGGTAGAGGAGAGACGGAGGGAGAGAATGATAATTCTTCAGCAAGAAGTTTAGTAGAGATATTGTTATAGTTTGAATGAATGATTGTGTCCTCCTAAAATTCATAGATTGAAACCTAATCCCTAGTGTGGTACTTAGAGGTTGGCCTTTTGGAGGTGATGAGGTCGTGAGGGGGGAGCCTCTGTACTTTAAAACTGGACATTTCTCCTGAGATAAGATGGGGCTCTAACTCTGGGCAGGGGAGTGTTAAGTATTCAGTGTTAAATATAACAAAGTGTTTTTAAGAAATTAGAATGTACCATGTACGTAGCTGTTCAGTTGGAAAAATTTTAAAATCAGTTAATGCCCCGAGGAGAGCATAAACAAAGATAATTTTGTCTTTTATCCTCTGAATTTGCTCCTGAGAGTTTTCTGAATAATAAGTAGATAAGAAAATTTCCAGCCTTTCCAGTGACTTCCCATCTGCTGAAGCCTGCAGATAAGTCTGACACATGAAGTTCAGAACACAGGTGGGTCAGGAAGAGATAGGGAGATGCAGACCATTTCTTTGGAACCCCTTGAATTTCAGAATAAGCCAGTGAATCAGTTCTTACCAAGGGTATGCCATGAAGGAAGACCAATAGGACTGTGGCCCACATAATTTATCCAGCATTTATATGCTTGTGTTTAAAGAAGAAAAAAAAAAGAAAATTTATGTGGGTCATTCTGGAGTACACCAAACATTTTTCTAGTCTATAGAATCCTTAGGAAATCTACCCTGCCAGCCTTCTCTAGCAGAAAAAGGACACATATGCCAGCTAGTGTGTAACATAAGATTGCATCCTCTAGTCTGTTGGGATCTGGGAGCCAGCTTTGACCTCAGTGGCGTGGAATCTGAGAGGGAATCTCAGAGGCCTTTGGAGGAACTGAAAGATGACTATTAAGATGCCTGTAGCTTGAGTGAGCATGTATCGATTATTTTTTTCTCCATTGTATGAGCAGAGGAAACTGTACTCCCATCTGACTGGCTAGACTGAAATTTCCCACTAAGGACTTAGCTTGGTGAGAAATTAAGGTTGTATTTGAGCCTTCTTTCTAAGTAAATTCCTGACCTTCCTTCCTACCGTAATGTGAGTAAACGTAGCTGGAGAAAGTCAAGAGGAAAAAAAAAAAAATCTCATGTCCTGTTACCAGCCACCCACCCAAAGGTTAGCTTTGTGCTCTTGTGCCACCCAGGGGAAAAGAAGGCCGTCTTTGTCCTGTCATTCTTAATTTTTTCCTATGCACAATTACCCTTCCCCCCATTATCAGGAAAGTGCATTGGTTAGTAATGTCTGATGACCAGTTCAAAGTTTTCCATCCAGCAACCGAATGTGGAGAATTTATGCCTGTTGGCTCTCCATCTGCCATGGAGCTACATCCTTAAGAATAATATCACAATAGAGAAATGACTTCCAAATGGTGTAGCCTGCATGTAACTGATTGCCTTTAATTAGGGGGAAAATCACAAGCTAAAAAGAGTAACAGACTTGAAGTCAGTTAAAAATCAGAGTAATCAACTGAAGAAAAAAAAAAACTAATCTCATAAATCTTAATTTTTAACCATAGGATAATAATTTCTTTATTCATTAAATAACTTTTTTTTGTCCCTCCCGGTTTCTTCAATTGGGATTTTAAAATAGGTTAGGAGAATTGCCAACTCTCTGTGAAATGAGAAAGACCAACCCCCCACCCATCCCCCAGGAGCCTGGAACAAATAAAATGGAGAAAGGCATAGTTCTGCCCAAGAACTAGTTTTGTGTGGCCCTAATGTAAGAACTCTGTGATGGAGAGTGTGATCACAGAGGCTGGGCGAGGGGTGCACGGGGGCTTGTGGGGGTAGAAACCTCTTAGTGGTGTTTCCCTAGAAACGGGGAGATTATAATCTGGCACACTGCAAGGGAACTGCCTGCATAGACCCCACCCCTTTTTTTAAAACAAGTTCAGCTTTAAAAATAGCACAACTTCAGCAGCATTAATAAACCAAAAAATAGAATTTGCTACTTAACTATTCCCCAGTTGGCTTTCATGTATTTTGAGAAAAGACCAGATTTAAGGCAATTCCTTTCAAGATTTTTTAAGTCAGCCTAGTACTAGAGGCGAAGAAGACTTCTCAACACAGACACAGATGATTGTTTTCCTTGGTGCAGGAAAGAAAAACACTTTTCTTTGAAAGAGGATGCCAGATAATTTCTGGAGAAAGTGAAACAGGAAAAATGTGTGGTGAGGGCAGATGTTCTGTGAAATGAGTTTGGACTGGCTAGGCTTATGTGCCAGAGAGTGATTTTCAACTGTTATCTCCTTAAAGCTGGTCAGGATTTTAAAAATCTGTTCATTTCTCTCCCCCTCAACCGGTGGCATCGAGCGGGAGCAGGGATGTCACCATGGGTGCCGGGACCCCCTAAGGAGGAGCGGTGGTAACAGGGAAATTTCTGAGTGATCATGAAGCAACATGCGCTCAGCTAATTACTCTTCTCTGCGCCTGCTCTCACATCTTGCAACTCTCCATGACCCAACTGTGGAAATCCTGTTTGTCTGCCTCCCACCCTCTCCTCCAAAGAATGAGAAGTAGCACATAGCAAGGCTGGGCTTGTTTCATGAATGAGGTTGGTTTCTGTTGGACCCCAGACACAAGAGGTTTCCAAGGCTGTTGGCTTGATGCTGGATTTGCGAATGACCTGGGGGTCACATCTTGATGAGAGCTTCGTGTGAAGTGTCTGGGTGCTTGCTCTGTGATCACCTGTCCTAGAATTAAATGACCTTGAAAGGTAGGCGGGGCCGTCATCTTGACTCAGGGAGACATGAGAGAATCTTCCTTTTCATTAGACTCCTCAAGGTGCTTCCTACTTGCGGTCTTCCCTAGCTGTAGTGATTCTGCTGTCTTAGTTGCTTTCATGGCTGTAACTGGAGGCTCTTTCTGCGTTTTCTCATAGAAATAGCTAGTTCTCTTGTATAGTTTCCTTCATATCAGAGCACTAAGCACCTAACAGTTTTGCCTTTTTTATGTTAAGGTAACTTCCCTCCTCTAAAGAAATCCCCCTCACTCCCCTCCAAAACCTTAATTTATCAAGATAAAACAACATTACTTTTTTTTCACAGGACTTGAAGAGAACCATTGGCTTGGTTATAAGTTTATTTGAGTGACTATTTGGATATACTAATTAGTAGGAACTTATCACTTAGTATTACAGGGAAAAAGGGCATAAAAATAGCTTGATTCTCCAGAGAAAGCAACTTCCTGGGCATGGCCAGACATACTTTCTATCCAGTTAGATACAATTGCAAGATGCTATTACCCAAACTAATTAATAATGACATATTAGTTAACATATTGCCATCAGCAGGTGGCTGTTTGAGCAGAGGTGAAAATGGCATGTGCTAAAACAAATTGTTGTACCCTAGAGAAATGTGCAGAATCGTTTATTAGAAGAGGCTTTTAATGATGCCTGCAGTATGTTTTTTTTTTTTTTTTTTTGTTAAGAGATTAAACTAAGGGTAGGCTTGGAGAGCTATCAACTCGAAAAACAGAAGAAAAGAAAGCAAAATGGATTCAACCTTTTCCAATGAAAACACCATCAACAAGTAAATAGTTGAATCCCAGCAGCAGTTTGCCTGTCATGTCTAAAATCCTGGGGAGGACTCAGATGGCCGCCTGCTTCCTCTGCATTTCCTCTCCTTTCTTCTTTCCTGCCTCTCCTTGGTCAAGAGACCTGTCAAACGATTCTCGCACACAGGTTTGGTCGTGACAGATGGGCAGCAAACTGTAAGCTGTTGCTGTCTTTCAATTTCAGAGTAGTCACTGTGGCGATGAAAGGGTTAAAACTATCCACAGGGATCAGGGCTGGGAGATAATTTGAGTAATGGGAACCCCAGAACACTGAGGCAAGTGACCCCACCACAAAAAAAATCCTACTGGGTGACTGCTCTGGAAGAAATCCTTATTGATCTCTTTCTAGCTCAGGCACCCCTGTGCTTTTTAAACAACTGTGGGAGAAGTTACTGTTTATAGATACCGGTGATTATGATTAACGATGGCTGTGAATCTTTTGATTTTGGAAGGTGCATTTGTAATGAGCACTTGTAGATACAGGTTGAATAAGTGTGTACCCTCGGAGCATGCGATCAGGAGCCTTCAGAAGATCTACTACTATATTATGAAGGCTGTTAAAGTGTAGGAATGAATGATGTCCCATAAGAAGGCAAACTCCTAGAAGATACGTTTTTATTTCATTTTTCCAAAAACTTTCCTTTCCTTAGAAGAAATGTAAAAGGAAAAATAAGTAGTTTTTTTAAAAAAAAAACAAATTGTAGGTTCGAGAAGAATAAAATACATGTCCCATTTATTAGCTGCAAAGAGAAAATTGATAAATAAAAAGCAGACTTAAACCTATTTTTCAAAAGTTTGCGTGGTAACCAGAAAGGGACACATTATGACTCAAAAAGAGGAGCAGGAATCCATGATGGACTGACTAGGGGAAGATTGGGTAAAGGAGAATTTAAATAACCCAGATATGTTCAAATCCACAGGTCCCAATGGCTGGCATCCTAGAGTACTTAATGAATTGGCCGAAGTCATCACAGAACCGCTAGATATCATTTTTGAGACCTCGTCGAGGACTGATGAGGTGCCTGAAGACTGGAAAAGGGCATATTTAGAATCTTCTTTCAAAAAGGGAAATGGATGGTGACCCTGGAAATACGCATCAGCTTAACTTTTTGATTGGAAAAATTCTGGAATAATCAACTTAGTAAATTGGGTAACTAACGTATAATAGCTAGACATCAGGCAATGAAATATCACACATCAAGAAGTACCACATTCATGTTTAGAAGACACATTGCTATGAGATACAGTCTTGTGCATATTTTGGGATTCTTCCTTCCATTCTATGAGTTCTTAATGAAAATGAGTAAGATTGACTAAGGCATATGGGTGGTAACTGCTTTTAAGTGTAGGACAAGACAAGAAAAACAGTTTTCTGGCATTCACTAATAATTGCATTATTTCCAAATTAACCTTCAGAGAATAAGTAGCCTTAATATTTGATTTTAACATACATTCTTTCACTTCATATAGAGCCATGCTTTGATAGCTTGAGATATTTTATGTCATTCTATATAGAATAGATTGGTATGGGGATTCTTATTTTAAGGTGTTTTATATAGTTATTTCATGTATAGGTTAATCATGAAACTGAGGCATTAAGGATAGTCACCAAGGGAAGACAGTTGTTTCTACCTTCTTTTAAATTTACTCTAGCTAGAATTTAGGGTTAGGACCAGTAAGAGTGTCTAGCTTTGACTTATATGGAGCAAGAGCCGGTTACATAGAGATAGTTATCCTTGCTTAGTGCACTGCCTGGCCTATGCAGGGCCTTCTCTGCTTATTTTACTCCTTAGTTTCTGACTTCAGGCCTGTTGGGGTAGGGGGTGAGCAGAGACAGTGGGCACTGAGATCCCTGTATAGCCGCAGTCAAAAAGCAGAGGGCACAATGAGATGGAGTGAGATTAGGATGAATCTGAAATGTTTCTCATTCCTATTCTTCTTGCCTTTGGATGTTGGTTGTTTTATTTTCTGCTTAGAAAATGCCCCTCTGTTGACAGGACCAAAAACTAAGTTGAAATATCATCAAAAAGATGTAGATATGCAACAAGGTCCTGGAGCAAAAAACTTCTGAGAGCTCCTGCAGTACTGCAGAATCCTGACTGCACTATATAGAAGTCCTTGAGATGTGTAAATTCACAGTGATGATGCTTTCTGGAGTTAAGGAAACTCTTCAAGGAGAAAGTATTACATGCACTTCTTCCTGGGGCATACTGGTCCCTAGAACTGGGTCTCCAAAGAGTATAGTATCTGCTCTAAAACATCTAAGGTTACATAGTTAAATACTTCTAGAGATTAGACACTAGGGGGTAAACTCTATCTCATTCTTAAATATAAATGTGTAAGGAAATTAAGTTCTGAATATATCTGTAAGTTACCCTTTAAACTATACATAGCTCATAATTTCATAAGGATTATACTCCAATCAACCTTTCATCATTTTTTCAAGTCAACTAGAGCCCTGGGGGGGGGGGCCTGTATAGATTACAGATATAATTTATTGTCATCATAACTGGCTTCCTTTTTGGGAATCATTTCCAGGTACAGCATCTATAGAAGATTTATTTCACAGATGTACATTTACATGCATTTGTTGAACAGTTTCTAGAAAACCCCACTTTTTTGAAAAATCTATTATTTTCACTATGTGCATTATAATGTAATCCACTGCAACCAAAAAGGGGGCTCTTTGGTCATTTCACATTTTATTTTCCATATGTGTAATGTCTAACTTCAATTATCTTGACAGTTTTTAGTTTTTGTGTCAGCTGTTGGAACTTAAAAATAACAATCCTCTACCTAGATTAAGAGTCGCAATCTAGAATGTCAACATAGCTAATGGTTTTTAAAGACTTCTTACCAAAAACCAGAGGAAGAAAACCTTAAAATAAGGTGTTGAAGGAAGCTCATTCTGTTGCATTGACTCAAGAGCTAGCATGTAAGAGAAAGGAAGTAGAATTACCATGAATTGTATCAGGAGATAATTTTTCACAGTGATTTTTCCATTTATCTGAACATTCATAATATCCTTCATTTTTTTAAGGTAAAGGAAGATACTGTGGTGCATATAAATTATCAAAGCTAGAAGATTATCTATACAACTGTAGATGATAATACTATATTAAGTATTTGAAAGTTGCTAAGACAGTAGATCTTAGAAGTCTTCACAAAAAAAAAATTCTTTTGGACTGTGTAAGGGGATGGATATTAACAGACGTTAATGACATATGTTATGGTCATATTGCAGTATATACACATATTGATTCATTATGTTGCACACCTGAAACTAATATAATTTTTAAAAACTAGAGGATTATCTTGATTTATATTTCCCAAGACATCAAGAGAGATTAATATCAGACTTGCTACATACTATTGAAGAATTTGGAGGATTATAGTAAAATTCTATCCAGTTCATCTTAAAACATAATTTTTTGGGAAGAGAAAAGAAACATTTCACTTACATAATCTATTTCTTGGCATATGGAAGATATGATTTTAAGGATTTTTTACCAGAGGAATTTGCTGTGACATAGAGTAACTGTTCTTGATCCAAAGACATATACAGCATTAATGTGTTGTGAAATCAACAACAAAAACAATATGCACTGAGTTGTACTTTGGACTTTCCAGATGATTCAAATTCTAGAATCATGTCCATTGTCTTCTCATGTGGTGAATCTGTCAGGAACATAAGCTGTAGTGTAGCATGGGAAATTATCTCAAACAATTAATAAAGTCATTAAAACTTTCCCCCATCCATAAATTGGGACCTCCTAGATATAAGTACCACCTATGATTCTCTGGAAGCTTGTGAGTTCTGTCATCAACACCCACGGACAGTTCTTGACTCACTGCTTGGCCATAATGGATGCTGAGTGTCTCCCTTCCCTTCCTTTCCTCTCAGATGAAAACTCAGGCAAGTTGACATGTCCCTATAGCTGCCTAAGGCTTAAACATACCGAATAAGGCCCCTTTCTTTTCTTTTCTTTTTTAAAGGAAGGTTAATTGGAAGAAAGGTTACAGTGACGGCTCATAATAGGATTTCAGTGACTGTTTATTGGCTGAGTGCAGAGTGTGGTTTTAAAAACAATAAGCAAATGAGTAAGGCTAGAACTTTTGAAGTCTGGGAAATTAAGTCCCACAGACATATTCGAAGGTAGTATTTCTTTAACTTTCCTCTTTTTTATAATAGCTTTACATTACATGATGAAGTTGGTGTACAACTTGAGTGGCGTATGAGCTTTTTCTTCTGATTTTATGACTGATTTAAAAATTAGGGATGCAAATAGGCATTTCCCTCTAGCTGCTTCTGGGATGAATCCAGCCAAGAGCCGAAGCAGATGATGGTGGATCGGCAAACTCTTTTTTTCTGTGTGAAGAGAAACCAGATGTGCCAGTGACTGGGAAGCACCTGCCAGAAAACTGAGATGAGCATGTCTGGATTGTTCTCCGTGAAGATTCTGAGTATTGAAAACAGATCCCCCACATGGGCATTCGAGAATAACAAACACAGAGGTTAAATAAAATTACATTCTTGGACAAAATGGGTGGTTAACCTGTAAGTTTTTAATTAGGTACGAGCATGTCATGTTCAAGCAGGTGCACAATTTCTGAATTTCAAAATAAATAAGGAATAAAGAGTAGAATATTCTATCCAGGGACAAATAAGAGAAATGAACCTGACCTTATATTGCCAATTCTCTATTCAGACCAAGTATGAAATAACAGGAAATTCTTAGAAGAGATCAGCTGACAACTAGTGCTGCTAATAAAGCCATTATAGAATTTTTATTAAATTAAACAAAATAAGTTGTGTGGAGCAGAGCATGTCAGCTAGCCCTTCTCTTTTAGAATTTTCTAATTTCACTCTTATTAGCAACCTCAGTGGTCATCAATTAGAAATTCCTGCATCAGATATTTTACACTAACAGATTCTTTGATTAGAAATTCTTCTTCAACTTTATATTATTACTCTCTAATGAGATAAAATTAAATAACTTTCTACTCCATGATTAGTACCCACCATTTTACACATTTCCATAAAATGCCAAAACCAATAAAATGGTAGTTCAGAAAAATGACAGCTTTTTAAATATCAAAATAGAGATTTTCTTTTAAATTGTTTAAATTCTTGGAAATGGTTTCTTTTTTGATTGTTGCTCATTTGAAGGAAAACCTTTAGAGGAAAGCAAGAGGTTAAGTTCCACATTAAGGGCTAGGTGGTATTTTTTTTTTTTTTTTTTTTTGACAGTTGGCCAAAATTTCTTCCACTGCAGCAAAAGGAAGTCAACTTTTAAATCTGATTTAAGATGAGAAATGTCCTGTATAGATGTACTCTGTAGCATACTCTTTGTCAGATAGCTATTCCCTTATTACCCCCCTAATGAAATGCTGTGTTGAATATCTCAAGGACAGAGTGATACCTTGATTGAGGGCTAGAGTCGGAAATTCTGTTGTTCATTGTAGTTGTTGCCCTGTTCCCTAGACTTGACAGTATTCTAAGATGGGTTACTCAGGTTACATTCAGTGAAAAGTTCTGCCCCTATAGAAATGTGTGCATGGACATGAGAAATCAACATATGCCCCTCCAAGTAGTCAAGCACAGATTCCTTCTGAATGAAAGCAGCAGTTTGGTTATGTAAATATAATTGCAATGGCCATTCTCTACCCGCCCCCCCCAAACCTCCTTTCATCTATTGTTTTCAAAGTCTCTGTGAAAAGCCTAAAGGGAGCAACGTTGTGAGCTCTGGGGTGTATGCCCATGCATGCTGTGTTTGCAGACATGTTCTCTTCAATAAATGGCTTTCACAGCGCTTCTGTCTTGGCCTCTTTTGTAATCGTCCACATTTCGTTGAATGGGACAGAGCGTGTGTGTCGTTTAAATGATGATCTGTAAATGTTGCCGTGCTGTAGCATGGCAGTGGGCATAGGAAGTCAGAATTCTCACTTGAAAGAAAGAAGGAAGCAAGATTCCCCACACTTGCATGCAAAATTCAAGTAAGTCATTAGCATGTGTGCTGATGCTTTTGTACAATTGTTATATATGAATACGTTGTGATTTTCTCCCCCTGTGATCCTGTGCCAGGACACCTGGCTCAAAATGGTGGGAGGTGGGGTGGCAGGGCATATTCATTGTGCTCCTGCTGTGATTCCCATGGCCCCTGAATCTTCATCACCTGAAAATTGTAGCATCTCAGAACTCTTGGGACCTGGAGCCTATTGGATTTGAATCCCAGCCTTATCACTTTCTGGCTTCAGTGACCTTGAACAATTGGAACAACTGTTGTGAATGCTTAGCACAATATTTATCACAGCCCCAAGTAAGCAGCCCCAAATCTGATTAAAAGAAGTTTTGTAATAGTGTTTTGGTTTATGTATAGATGGCATCATTTGATGGTAACGGATAAGTTTTTATTTGTACTAAGTACAAGATGAGAGGAGAGTAAATGTAAAGACAGCAAAATGTAAAATCAATATAAGGAAGAATAATACAACACTTTGAATTTTAGAGATGAAAAGGGAACCTTAGGATAACCTGATTTAGAAGTTGCATGTTGGGCCTCCCTGGTGGCGCAAGGGGTTAAGTGTCAGAACTATGAAGCTATCCACAGCCACTGCAGCGCAAGTTCAATCCCCGGCCAGGGTGGTGACCCATGTGGCGCAGCAGACCTCTCCTGTCTCGCCCGCTGCTCCCCTCAGCAGTGTATTCAGTCAGTCTGCCTGTTCAGTCACTCTGTCTCTGGTGAATCCTCTCACCCTCCCCACCCCCACCCGACATCTCTAGCCTGCACCCCAGCTCTTGTATGCATAAATAAATAAATCTTCAAAAAAATAATAGAAGTTGCATGTTGAGGAGTCATGTGCTGTGCTCATGTGACACTGGTTTTGAGGTTCTCCTGAATCCTCCATTCCAGGCTTTTGTCTGTCCAACTGAGATCCTACGAAGCATACCTCAGGAGGCTCAGGGAATCTTCAAAAGAGACTCACTTTGCCCAACTTTAATTTCATTTTAGATCCATGGTTTTCAAGATATAGCCTTAGAACACTTTTGTTCATAAACTCAAGTTCCAAATGGTGCTGGGTCTGCAGAAACCGAGAAACCTCATCCTTTACATGTCAAGTTTTCCTTTTCCTAGCCAGAATATTTAGAAAAGTCAATGATACTGATAAACATCAATAAGATATATTTTTTTTAAATGGGAAAGTGCTGCATGCAGTGAAGATCTCAAATAAGGAGTGGTTGACAAAGAATAGGAGGATTTATGTCATAAATAAAACTATTCCACATAAGACTACTTTTGAAGTCTCATCTGATTCTAGAAAATGAATACCCTCTAGTCTCATTCCAGGTCATATGTTGCCTTACTAAGGATTTTTAATTTAAAAGAAGTATCTTGAACAATTTTAAATGAAAAACTTACTTTCCCCCTCCTAGAGTCACCCTGAGGACAGAGTTCATTCCTGTAATTATGGACACTTTTTTGGCCAACCTCCTCTACTGGAAAATATATCCACGCACCGTTAGCAGGATGTCTGGGGGATGTCAGCTCTCTCTGAGTCGAAGCACTATTGGGAACTACAAGTATTCAGCATGCCTTCTTTTGCATGTAGAGCTCGATCAGTTTAATTTCATTTTGAAAACTAATCTACATAACAGCTTTTTACAAAAATAATTGTTTTGAGTGAAGAAGACACATTTAATGTTTTCCGAGTCCTGGCCTGCGCATCAGAAACCCTGACTACAGTTTTGGATTTCCTGACAAATCCCTGTCCAAGTCACTTTGTTTTATGCCTTTGCTCTCCAACGTGTGAAAGTGTCCAGTGGATTGAATTACACAAGCACATCATCCAGAAGGCTTGGGAAGATCGTGTCTGCAAACAACCTCATGTCCTTTAGAAACAAATCGCACATGATCAGCTTTTGCATTCATGTCCACTAGGCTTTGAATACATCAGGTACATCCCCTCTCGTGTCGTTCCCACTTGCTACTCCTCATTCCTTGTGCATTTTCTAGAACATTGTAGATACTAAGTAGTAATGTGAACTGAATGAAGGAATGAATGAGCTTTCTCACCTGCCAAAGGATACTGAACCCCAAAGCTGTATGTGTTGGTATTACCTTCGAGGAATGCCGTGGCTCTTGGTTTTGAAGGAGAACATGCCTTTCACCCCAAGATGTGGGAAACTGAGTTTATCAGGAGTTCATTTTGGGTGGTGGTTTAGTCATTGTTCAGGTCCTCTTTTTTTGTGTAAAGTCATAAATGCAAATAATTTCTAAAATTCTACACTCACATTTAGGTTTTCTTCTGCAGGAATATAGTAAACATAATTTCTGGAGGCACATAGAAATACTCAAGTGGCCCACTAGTTTTCTTCTGGTCATCTTTTCCTTATCTGAATTGTCAGAGGGATATCATCTATTCCTCCAATCAAAGCCAATAAAATATCAATCTACTCTTTTTTATTTAAAGATTTATTTATTTGTTTATACAAGCACTGGGTACAGTCAGAAGCACGGGAGGGTGAGAGGATTCACCAAAGACAGAGTGGGGAGCAGAACAGGCAGACTGATGAAATACACTGCTGAGGGGAGCAGCAGGCAGCAGGAGAGGTCTATGCGCCATGTGGGACCCTCGCCAGCGGCCGGGAATCAAACCTGCGCTGCAGAGGCTGCGGGCAGCTTTGCGGCCCAGCGCTCAACAGTTGTGCCACCAGGGGAGGCCCTTAATCTACTCTTGTAATTAAAACCAAATTATGATTAATATATGCGCTGTGTGGTGTGATGCTAGACAAAATACAAAGATATTTTGATAACCTACCCTAAATAAACATTGACTTTCCTTTTAGGTTGCATTTGGGTTAACCTTCTTTAGAAATATTTATTATAAGTATCTGACCCATGATTTTGTTCTTGTTAATAAGTATTAGTTCCCTGAGTTTACTTCTAGCCTTTACCAATGGAATGGCAAAAACCAAAACCAAAACCAAACAGTAGAGTAGTTAAGAAGAGGTGGCCCAGGGTGTGCAGACTTGGGCTCGAGTCCCATAGAGATGTTGAGAATTAGTGTTGCTTGACCTGAGAGGAAGCTAGCAACTGCGCAGCGATCACACGCTTGGTCTCTCTTTCCTTCCTCTGTTAATGTGTACATTTTGTGGGGAAGGGGCAGTAGAGAAGTGTTGGCATCTCAGACCCCTGGAAGCAAATTCCAGCTCCCCACACCTACTGGAGTGACTTTCACCGGGTTACTAAATCCTTTCCAGTGTGTTTTGCCATCTAAAAAGTGAGGTTAGGACCTCCCTGGTGGCACAGCACTATGAAGCTATCACCAGCCACTGCAGCACGAGTTCAATTCCTGACCAAGGAGCTGACCTACATGACGCAGCAGACCACTCCTGTCTCGCCCACTGCTCCCCTCAGCAGTGTATTTCAGTAGATCTGCCTGTTGTGTTTCCAAGTCTATCTCTGGTGAATCCTCTTACCCTCCACACCTCTGGCCTACACCCCAGCTCTTGTATGCATAAATAAAAAAAGTAAATCTTTAAAAAAAATAAAAATTGAGGTTAATAACACTTCCTCAAAGATATCGTGTGAAAATTGAATAAAGTAGCATGTAAGATGCCCACAGAGGGTCTTGTGTTGGAGGAAGATGAGTCTCAGCACATAGGAAGCAGGGGGTTGGGATATAGAAGAGACCTTGGTGACTCAGGCAGTAAAATTATTCTCAAGATGTGTTAGAAATTAGCTTCCAGTATTGGACTGATCACAGAATAACAACATTAAAAAGTATCGATGGCACCACTTTAAATGACATTTAATATGTCATTTAGAAAATGTCATAAAGAAAATACGTCATAAAGAAACTGAAGTAAACGGGTTTTATTTGGTGATTTCCCTAAGACCCAGTTGTAATAGGAAAAGCTGGAATTTAAATCTCACCAGTGTGACTTTAAACCTGTCCTCTTACCTTTATTTATGTCTTTTGGGTCCCCATGTAATGCGGGACCAAATAGAGGAACTGTACATTCAGAAGAAGGAGAGGACAGATTGTGGTGCGGGGGCTAAACATATACAAGGGGTGCTTAAGAGTCCTGGAAACTGGGGAAGAAAGTATGAAATCACATTTCATCCATTCTAGGATGCCATTGAGGCAAAGCCCCCAGGAAATGCCCCTGGAAAAGGATGCTGCCAGTTGCACAATTACAACCCTGCTTTCCTATTAAGATTTTTATCTTTGATGTGTTGACAGAGTGATGTTTCAATTGTTTATACATAAATGTTTGTGATTTATTATTCAGATATACATGAAATAAAAGTGAAGCTAAGTAAACGTGAAACAGTCCTACTGCGTTTTTCTGGGCCGACCTCGGAATCACTTGTCAACGTATGTTCACCAGTGCCCCCGTCCTCAGAGTCAGCTTCTGGCCGCAGGGCCATTGCTCATGCAGCCCGCCTGGCATCTCTGGAGGTCACCCAAACCGCCCTCCACGTTCCCATGCTGGTACTTTCTTGATGTCACCTGAAGTCTGCAGAAAGTTTCCAGACTGCAGCTCGTTTCTTCTTCCTGTGGTCATCAAATGATGTCTTGGCCGAAATGCCCTGTGCTTGCAGCTCCACGGTCCCGTGGTCAGGCGTAGCAGCTGTAGTGCCCATGCACACTAGGTGGCAAATGCTTCTGTAGCTGCCAATCAAAATGGACTGTAGTTTTCCATCTCCTGTTCTCTATCGTGGTGACATACATGTTTACGTGTGAAAATGTGTGCGTTCAAATCCATGAAAGAAGCTTTTCAGTCAAAATCCTTGTACTTTTGTTTTTTGTAGTAACATTGCATCAGAACATTTTATGTCTCAGGGGTGCATTATCCAGACTCAACAATGAAGTCACCACTGAAAGTCCAGATTGGTCCTTGACTACACCATTTTGTTTCCTTTGACCCTCCCCCACCTCATTTTACCTTTGGCCCCTCTGCTTTGTTGATAATTGTGTATAGTAATTTGTCTGTAACTACTTTGGACTCAGAATAAGAATTTTCTTTTGAGTCTCTTTGGAGTTGAGTCAGGGTTAATATTATTCTCCAGGGGGTTTCTGGCGTGATTTATCCCACAGACACATAATACGTATGGTAATGTTTGGCTTTTTTGTAATCTGAACTTCATGGAGATCCTAGGCTCGTGGAGAGTTTTTAAACAATGATCTAAACACTATCGTATAGAACTTAGCAACTTCCCTCATGGAATGATAATAACTTTTAGAGTATTTTAATTTTTATCAACGATACTTGATTCTAGAGTCGACCCTCATAAGTCTAGTACAGCTGCTGGTTGTTGGAAAGAGGAGGTCTGTCTTACTAATGCACCAGGGTCAGAAATAGTCTCTGTTGTAATTAGAATTCCAAAAGGAAGCTCAAAACTTACTACTTAGTCTATTGCTAATAGAACCCTCATTAAAATATTTAATGTGTGTAAATGCCTTTGAGAGCTGTTAGCCTCCCATACCTGAGTATGTGTGATATAATAGGAAGGGCTGGACTTTGGGGCCAGGAAGAAAGGAACTCCAAGCCACTCACTACTCCAAGGCCTTGGTTAAAAAAAAAATACTAAGTGATTTCACTGGTCAGAGCAAATTATATAGAAATTCCATTTAATCCTTATGATAACCCAATAAAATAGTTACTGTCCCATTTTACAGGTGAGAAAATTTTAAAGCTCAGAGATTTTAAATACCTTAGGAAAATCCCTTCCCTCTGTTACCCTAGGTGTCCTTAAACTAAGAAATGGAAGATTTGCTTTGAGGACTAGCAATGCCCTGGGTAAGGGACAC